CATTTTCAGAGGGGTGCTTATCTGTTCTGGAGGGAATCTCAGCATCTTCCAGAAAAAGCTATTCGATTCGTTGCTCATCTATTTTTCAAGGAGGCCCAAACAAATCACTAAAACAATCCCGAAATGGGCAATACTGAATCGCCGCTTGTTTCTTTGCACCTTCCAAGCTCTGGTCCCTGGTGGCATCGATAATTAAAACTCCCTAGAGATCAAATAAAAGACCTGCGTCAAGAGTGACATACTGTCGACCAGGGGTGCGCAAACTTTTTTGACCAAAGATCGACTTTTCGATCAACCAACCTTCCGCGATTGAACTTTATTGTCAAATGTACTGTATGTGTAACATACATGATGAGCAACAGCCTGACGCTGAGACATGCGACGCACTTTTGCAGCCCGTTAACGATCGTAGCTCACGCGTACCGTTTTAAAATGCTTCTCTCGGCCCTCCAGATTCCCATTCTTTGCCCGTCCCCTCGGTGAATCGGACAAAACAAACTCTGAATGAGAATAATGATAACGATAGAAGATATCGCGCAACAGCTCTGATCACGAGCTTACAATTGCAGACTGCTGAGCGCTAACAACTTCCATTGACGCAGTCACACGTCACTGTAGGTTAAAGATGACCTGCTTTATTTGATTTTCCTTTTCAAATACTTTTTGAGAAAGGGAGACTGATAGAATGATTAGGGTGCAGTGTGCATTAACACAAAAAATATATTACGAACATGCACAGAGACACAAATGTTTGATTTTTTTCCCCCTCTACACCCCTCGGATCGACTTGGGACCAGTCCGCAATCTACTGGTCAAACGCGATCGATGTAACGGGCACCCCTGCTGTAGATTGGATGTAACAGAGAATCCAGTAATTTTTCAAAACAAAACATCTTTTCGTGTCCGAAATGAATAAAACGGAAGTAATGTAAGTTATTTATTCTTTCTGTGCGGCCAAATGACCCACTGACCGGTACTGGTCCGCGGCCTGGGGGTTGGGGACCGCCGGGTTAAACAATGACAACTTTCCCTACTGGCCCGCAGAACATGGCCATACTCTTAACCGGTTCCAACCAAATGATCTTAACATGCACATTTTTTTTTTTTTTTTTTTGGAACGTGGAAGGAAGCCAGAGTAGAGGAGAAAGCAGCGGCAAAACATGCGTGCACATTAAACCCAAAACCTCAGAACTGGGAGCCAGACATAGCAGACAGACATATACCGACCACAAAATCCCGGCAATCCATGCATGTAAATGTGGGTGACTTATGGGAGATTTTAAAACGATAATTTTTGGACATCATCACCCTAATCGCGAGCGTTATTCTCTCAGGATGCAGTGGACAATTATTTTTGTGTCAATTCATTTTATCGATTCATTGATGAATCGGATGAAGAACAACAAAAGTGTTCATTTCCATTCCTTTTCTAAAAAAAAAAAGAGGACATTGTATCAAACTTGAGAGGGCCCCAGCATAAATGATTTAGGATTCGGTTACCGGATTGGGACTTAGC